TTAGATCTTCCTTCCCACATACCACACACAATGTCTCAATCAGTTTATCTGAGAGAAATTTCTGCGAAACTCTCTGCTCTTTCTCCACATGGATGAATATTTTGGATTTTTTCAGAATTTTCCCTAAGGAAAATAAGTACAGTATATCCATTATTCAAGCTTTGCACAGATGATGTTACCAAGACACCAGCAGTACAATAAATATTATCTTCCATGAAGTGTCGGATTTGGAGGAATTTCAGATGGGCGGTAATTCTGTGTCATTTTAGCTCGTCCTTTGGAGTCATCTACTCTAGTTATTTTTCTCTTTCCTCTATACTAATAGGAGCAGGCATTCTTTCAACTCAGATCCTATTAACCTGCAAGGCAAAGCCAAATGGGTAGAGTGATCTTAGCTGAACAAGCAGCAGGAAGCTTGACAGATGGTGCTTTCAATGGCAAGTTATATGGTAAGGCAGGGTACATTCCTCTAGTGCACACTCCATTCTAGACATAGGAAAATGTACATGTGTACGTATTATACATATGTGAATCTTTGTCTGGTTAGATACTCCAGGATGCTAGCATTCAATATGTATCAGATATGAATCTGACCAAAACAATAAAAATTCTCTTATGTCCTTTTACATTTCCATTCTTCAAATATATTTCTGACTCACTTTTAACTGTCGTATTTAACTTAGCTTGTGATCACTATAAATTTTAATTCTATCCTTACCAAAGGCAACGGAAGAATGAGATCAAATGGACTGAGGGGTCTTCTTCACCCGAACTGAGTTTTGCAATTTATCTAGTTTATTTCAAGGAATTAATCGGCATGTCATTAATTGCCTCGCTGGGAATTTTTCCACAAATCCATTGAACTATAGAAATGAAGCTAAACTCTCATCTTGATTGAGGCTTGTGACTTTTTTTAACTTGTAACCTATCATGCTGCATTCACTTTCCTGTTAAAGAGTTCCCTGCTTACGTATTATCTACATTATCCAAGCCAGCATTTTAAAGACTTGGACCATGATCACTCTCTTATTCCCATGTTTACAATTAGAAATCTTGAACTTTTAGATTGTTTGTTCATGAAGAAATAAACAAACAAAAAAGGAGATTAGGGAAGCCAAGAAAGAACTGGAAATAGACATTGAGGTGAATGGTATGCTAAATTTAAAAGAATCTTTCAATAGTACAGCAGTATGAGGATAGTCAGGAAAGACTTTAAAATGTCTAACAACAACAACAAGATTACATTTGTATAGCGCCTTTCACGTCGGGAAAATGTCCCAAAGTGCTGGACAGAGTACAGCATTTCAGACCCGAGTTGGGGTCAGGGGGGAGAAGGGAGGGGAAGGGAAGGGGGGTGACCAATGGCATGGTCGAAGAGGAGGGTCTTGCGGCGGGACTTGAAGGAGGCTAAGGAGGGTACGAGGCGGAGTGATTGGGGGATGGAGTTCCAGAGGCTGGGGTAGAGTGGCTGAAGGCTCTCCCGCCAATGGTGGGGCGGGTGGGTTGGGGGACGTGGAGCAGACTGGAGCCGGCTGAGCGGAGGGAGTGAGCAGGTTGGTAAGGGTTTAGAAAGTTGCAGAGATAGGGTGGGGAGAGACCATTGAGGGCTTTGTAGGTGAGGACCAGGATTTTGAACTAGATCCTCTGAAGGATAGGGAGCCAATGGAGTTGGACGAGAGTGTGGGAGATGGGGTCACTGAGTTTGGTTCGGGAGAGGACACGGACTGCAGAGTTCTGGATTATCTGCAGCCTGTGGAGGGAGGAGTTGGGAAGGCCAACAAGCAGAGTTTTTGCATAGTCGAGCCTGGAGTGATGAAGGCATGAACTCTTGTTCATGACACTCTTGACATCTGGCGGAGTCAGGCAATGTTACGGAGGTGAGGGAAGGCAGAGCGGGTCATGGCTTGAATGCGGGGAAGAAAAGACAGTTGAGGGTCGAACAAGACACCTAGGTTCCTAACTGGCTTGGTGAGTTGTAGTGTGCAACCATGGAGGTTGAGGCTGCCAGAGCCTGAGGTGCTGTGGCGCTGGCACTAGCCAATCAAGAGGGCCTCAGTCTTGTTCATATTCAGCTGTAGGAAGTTTACCCTCATTCAGGACTTGATGTACGACAGGCAGTTTGTCAGGACAGCAGTGATCCTGAAGTTGAGGGTGGAGGCAGAAAGATAGGGTGTCATCCGCATACATATGGAAGTTGACCCCATGTCTGTGGATGATGTCACCAAGGAGGAGCATATAGATATTAAAGAGGAGAGGGCCAAGGACAGAGCCCTGGAGGATGCCAGACGTGACAGTGCGGGTACTGGAGGAGAAACCGTTAGAGGCAATAAAGTGGAGAAGGTGAGAGAGATAGGAATGGAACCAGGCAAGGGCAGGGCCGTGAACATCAAGTAAGGAGGAGAGCCGGTGTATGAGAATGGAGTGGTCGAGAGTGTCGAAGGCGGCAGAGAGGTCGAGGAGGACAAGGAGGCAGAGGGAGCCCTGATCACAGATGTTCAGAATGTCATTAGTGACTTTGACCAGGGCTCAGGGCTGTTTCCGTGCTGTGGGCAGCGCGGAAGCTGGATTGGAGGGGTTCAAAGAGGAAACAGTGAGAGAGAAAGGAGCGGAGCTGGGAAGCGATGACTCATTCCAAAACCTTGGAGAGGAATGGGAGGTTAGAGATGGGGCGGTAGTTGGAGAGGAGGGATGGGTCCAGTGGAAGGTTTTTTCAGGATGGGGGTCTAAGAGATTCAAATGGGTGGAAAAGAAGATGAGCAGGAGATAATGAACATGTTAAATAAATAATAATAATCCTTGCATTTGATATAGTGCTTTTCATGTCTTCTATATGTCTCAAAGTGCTTCATAGAATATACTATAAAATTAATTGACTGTGTATTTGTGGGCGAAATGCGGCAGCCAATTGCATACAGCCGTGTCCCACAAACAGTCATGGATTAAGTGACCAAATTATTATTTTTTTAAGGATTATTATCCCCAGAAAAGCAATCCGCCAATCAACTAATAACCAGGTTCCTACTTACTGCTAGGTAAACAGAGGCATGTGGAGTAAGGAAACTTGCCCAACATTTCCCTCTGCCAGGAATTGAACCCAGATATCTCACTTATGAGGTGAGTGCTCTAATCACTGAGCTACAGGACTTCACAACAGCTACTTCCTGGAATTTTTTTTTACCATGGAGGACACTAAAATACATCAAAATCCAACACTTATTCATGAAAACATCCTGCCATTCTATATTGCTTTTTGAATTTTTCAAGTAATCAATCTCTCTTATATTCATTCTTTGACCCCACAGCTTCAAGCGGTCAGCATTTTTTGCAATAATATAAGTACTCTGTTCCATATTGTTTATAAATAGCACACCAAACAACAGGAAACAGTCTTGAACTTTTATTAGGCACAGAAGATTTTCTATTTGTCACCTACGTCTTGCTAGGACAATTTACAATCCACAAAATTAATTTGTCATCAATTAAATTAACCTTGAAGACATTATATACAAAACATAATAGAAATTCTTGGTGAAATTCCAAGAAAATTATATCCCATTGGCAGCCTGAGTCCATTCAATTTAGTTATAACCCTCAAAGAATTGCTTCTAATATCATGTGGAACTCCACTTCTGGCTTATGCAATGTTTAGGTGAGCACTGGTAGCATCTTGTATAATGCTCTTAGCATTTTCCCAACCCCTAATTGATGTACATTTATTTGGTTCACATTTTACTCTTGCTTTGATAATTGAGATCACATCCATTATCCTCCAGTATTTAAGTATATCTCTTGTATTCCACAAATCTCCTTGTCTTGTTCCTTTTCCCTGCATTGAAAACCCTGTAAAAAAAAGCCAATCATTTGCCCTCATTGTTATAGGGATGTGAAATGCCCTATCGAGTATATGGTAGAGGCAGAGTCCAAAGCTGGTTTCAAGGGCAAAAGGTAAATGATAAAGATAAAGAATTATAAAGACTTGACCTGATTTGGAGATAGTGTGAGGCAGTAGCAAGTTCCTTGCACGATCCCCAAACAGGGTCAACTCTTTTCAAATTGGCTGCTGCGTTCACTTACAAAATACAATCACCACATTTTACATTAAATCCTGTGATATGCTTTGAAATGTTTCAACAATGTAATAAGGCATTTAAATTCAAATACAATTATTATTATTTTAACTTATGGTCAAATGTCCTTAAGATGTATAACATGACTTGCTTAACAGTTAACTAATGCCCTGCTCATCTACAGATACACAGTGACTACACTTCACAGTAAATCCTGTAACGGACGTTGAGAAAACACCTTGACATCAAATTCAAGGACTACTTCTTTATATTGAAATTCCCTTCTCAATACAGCAACAACAACAACAACAACAAGATTCCACTTATAGAGCGCCTTTCACGTCGGCAGGACATCCCAGCACAGTCTTACTCGTGAGGACATTCATAATATATGAAGCTTTCTCAGCTTGGACACTTAAGCAAATCTAATGTGCTAATGTGGAATTTTGTATTGTTTTTTAATTGTAATTTCTTTTCATTTTGAATTATAACTCATTTTTAATCTGGAAACAGGTGGTCGCTGATTTTCAACTCGCACAATGCAGAACATTTATTTGCCAAAACCCATTTGCTTTAACAATAGTTGATGTCAACTTTCATTATTATCATTTGCACCATTGTTTATACCAGTGTTGATGTGATTTATATGTGATAAAATTTGTGCAAAATAAGATTTTTAAACATAATATGGATTACACAATAACAATTTACCATTACAATGCCTTTCATGTTGGGAGGATGTCTCAAAGCACTTAAAACAACTGACTGGATAGTATGATTGCAAGAGGTCGCACAGGTGGGGCGAGGATGTGGAGGAATTTGAACATGAAGATGAATACCTTGATGTTCAGGCTGCTTTTTACAGTTTTCTGTTGTCTCAACATTTTTCATTAAAACCCAGACCAAAAGCATTAAGAATCAAATGAATCTTACCATGGCAACTTGGCAAAGCTCTGTTCCATCCAGGTCTTCCATCATCTCCCATTATGCACGTAAGGGTGGAATATCCTTGCAGAACATAGCCCGCATCACAGTAATATGTAACTGTTGATCCTAGCTTGAAATCAGTTCCCAATCTGGTGCCATTCATAATATTCCCAGGATCAAAACATGACTCTCGTAATTTTGCTAAACAGGCAAAAACAATCAGAGTAATTAATATTTGTGTTGTATTTATTGTGCATTTACTTAGAACTCCAAACTTTGCTTTGTATTAAAATATTCAAGCTTCAATGAGTATCATGCATCAACAATTGGCATCTTTAAATAACAAACAATTTTGTTTCCTTTTAATGCAATCTGATGCAAATCGCCCGAACCAGGATTACATATTTTTCCAGTTATTTTGACACAGTCTGCATTGCATGCGTCACTTGGAGAAAAACAGGTCATTTCACTTTGAATTGAAAGTTTTGAGCAAATTGATCATTTCAAGCTTTCAATTTGAATGCAAAAGTGTTGATATGAATCAAACGTTCCCCTTTCTCTTCTTCCGCCAGAAAAATATTGATAGAACTTCAAAACAGGGGAAAACTAGATCCTTGGTGAATACCTCCTTGGCAACAGATCCACTTGGTGAAGCTTTCACTGGACTTACTGAGGAAATAAAATTCATTTATTCAACACATAACTGTGGACAATTCATCAAACTGATAATCTGGAGGAGCAGATGTACACTATCATAACCATTGCAGAGAAAAAGCCCAAGAGAGTGGTTGAAAGATAAAAATAAGCAGAAAATAGGGGAAGAAAATTGATCCACAATATAAGGAACACAATTCCTAGGGAGGACAAGTTTGCAGGGCTATGGGGAGAGAGCGGGAGAGTGGGATTGATTTGGATAGCTCTTTTCAAAGAGCTGGCACATGCCCAATGGGCCGAATGACCTCCTGTGCTGTATAATTCTATGATTCTATGAATTGATAGATTATGGAACTGAAAAGTCATGAGGGAGGGCAATGTAGTCGAGACACATTTTTCTCCATGACTTTAACTTTTTCTGCCCTTAGATACAGCAGAGTCTCAAAAGGCCAGTAGACAGGTAGGTAAGGAGGAAACAGACTTGGAAGAATTGGCAGAGGAGTTAACTGAAAATTAGTGCAGAGATGTAACCTGGCCCCTTCCTGGTGTCTATGACTCAGTTGGATGCCACACAATGCCTCCTCTGAACCATCATCAGATCAATTCTCAATTTTTGCATTGCCACAATATAGACTCTTACTGTTTAATTGATTAGACTAATATTATTATCATTGCATACAAACTAATTCCCGGATTTTTCATTCTTCATCTTAAAATGTCTAATTTTATCTTCCTCACTTCAGCTGGCTTCAACACTTCAATGGCACAACATTTTTTAGGTTACTAGACATTACTTCACGTGAATTGTGCTAAAAATGTAAATTGCTGTTAATTATCTTAATGGGCTAACAATTGAAAATAAAACAAAGGAAAATGTCAAAGCGATTGCAGTCACCTGTATATTCTATGTGGAAGCCTGAAAAGCTAACAGAGCCATCGCTCCGAAAGGCCAAGTGCATGGTGTTCAAACCGCTCTCAATCCGATCAGGCAGTTTATTGTCCTGAAAGCTTCCAATCAGAGGGCTGTTGCTGTCTGCTCCATCGTACAGGTACAGGAAGTCATAATTGGGTTCCATGCTGAAACTATAAAAAGGAGAAAGTTCACAAACTCAAGGAGATATTCTTTTCCAATATTCGCAACTCCCTGGGGTTTAGCACCATAAACTATCTGTTACCGAATACATTCCAAACAAAGCATTTGAACAGTGTCCACAGGCTTAATGCCTCCTTGTGTTTTCAACTCGCTTGTTGTGGTTTTCTTTGGCCATTCGTTGAAAGAAAACAAATACTTATTACTTGAACCCTCTTGCACACAGTAATCTAAACTAGTAAAATGCTTCCACCGATCATGATGATGAGTTTAGTTGTATCTGAATTGCAAATTAGCAATTTGTTGTGAATCTCCAACTCCATTCCATTAGGTGAAAAAATAAATTAATACAGCACTACTTGGAACTGAGGATAAGTACTCTCGGCTCCTGCCCTCAAGAATGTTTGAGATATAGTACAGGAAGATTCTTTGAGCTGGAATAAATGCCCACCTGGAATTTCCTGCTGTTATCCATGATGAATGCATTAATTTAACGTCATTCCCTGCATGAACTTACTCTGGGCTTGTTCAGTACACACCTTACATCAAATCATAAATGTGTTCTATGCATTCAAGTCTTCCACTCTTTTCTGTCCCTTTCCTTCTTCCTCTAACCCTTCTTTCCTGCCTTTTGCACTCTCTCCCTCCCTTGCTTGCTCTCCAAACACTCTCCCACCCTTTCACTTCCACTCTTCTCTCTCTCTCACCCTCCCTTCTTATCTCCCTCTCTCTTGATCCCAGTATTAAAGGAATTAATATTTTGAGCTATGTAGGATTATTCAGTAGTTGTAGATAAGAGTTAGATTGTTGTTAGACATAGCATCAGATCCAATGAGACTGAAAATAATTGATTCAAATATTTGTTTTTTTCATTCACTAAAACCTTATCGCCCTAGACATTGAATGTTACTAAAGTCGTTGGTTAAAATCCAAATCACCAGAGCATATAATATCACAAAATCAGTTCAGATGAAGAAGTCCTTCAACTCATTTTATCTCAACCTTCCAGAATAGCCATCCTCTCATCAAGTGATTTTTTAAAAATAAATGGGTCCAGCTTCCTGGCCTCACCTTCCTGAAAATGGTGGTTTTGCTCTCTTGGAAAAAATGCTTCCTGATGTCTGTCCTGAAATTGCCCTTTACAACTCTAAAATTGTGCCCTCTTGTTCTGCTGTCTGAGTGTTTCTGAAAGTATTATTCTGAGATGACTCGCAATTCCACTAAAATCCTATATATCCCTATAAGATCCACTTTGAGACATTGTTAGAAAATAAAATCAGCCAAATCTGTAAGGAAATAACGTTAATTCCTTAAACCAGATATCAGACTGTTTTATTATTATTCGTTCGTTATTCCCCAATATCTTGATAGGTCAGACCAAAGGCCAGTACAATCAACAGATCTTATAACAGAATAACACCACTATAGATATCTCGAGTTCAAGAGTTCAACACTGTGTCTTTACAGCACACAAGCTTGATTCTTCATGCTTTCAGTCTTCTTGCTTACAGCTTTCAATCTTCCATCTGATATCCTCAGTCTTAGTGTTTCCAGCTCTCAGTCTTCCATTTCCGTACCCTTGTCTCCGCAGCCCAGGATGGCCCCATCTCCCATATCCTTGTCTCCGCGACCCGGGACGGCCCCATCTCCCGTATCCTTGTTTCCATGACCCGGGACGGCCCCGTACACAAAGTTATTGGAACTCTTATACTAATGTTCATCCAATCATGGTGCGGACATTAGATCACCCGGTCGAAATCACGCTGGGTGTACGTGAGTGCCTCATGGGGTGTACGTGCCTCACACACATACAAATTGTCCTTAAGACCCCTGTTATTTTATCTAATTGTCTAAGATAGAGGATTGATCAGTTTAGGACTGTACCTGGTGCTCATTATTTTGTGGTGTGGGATCATTAGTACATTCCTTTTAAGTGACTGGTTATTTTTTATCAGTATCCCGGGATGGTACCAGGGTCCTCTAGTTTAAGCAACATGCTCATTAGTTGCTATTCTTGAGGGTTGCCTTCTGTTGCTTGGCAGGCCCTGTCAGAATCTAGTGACTTATTGCTAAGTCAAGATCCTGCGTCGACCGGTACCTTGGACCGTTACCTCTGTGGCTTGTTGTCATTTACTGATAAGAGGTGACCCCCTGCCCCTGTCCGTTATTCTTTCAAAAACAGAGAAAACCAGATGTGTCCTATCCCATGACTGTCAGTCCAGTTGTCCTCCACACTTAACTTAAAAGTTAACCCATTCACAACATCTATTATGATTCTAGCAGTATACAAAAAGTGTATATTCTAACAACATCTGCTTTCAAACAACTGAAGAACCATAACTTCTCCAGGAATTGCTTACAGTTTGTTCCTCTTATACTGGAGATGTTCCTTATTGCTCTCATGGATATTATCTTCCCCCCCACCAGTTAACCAACACAAGACCCCTTTCCTCATGCGGGGACTACTCATGTAGTCATATAGCCCACAAACTGCAAGTTGGACATTCCTGTTCTAGGACATCAGGTTGCTGCTGTTTCCACTTTTGTCACAAAGTGCTGTTGATGTCAATGGTGTTTCCTGTGCATGTGCAGAACACAGGAAGTGGCATCAATGGGAACCTGGAAGCCATCTTCTTAACACAGGAAGTATCAGAAAACAAATTCATCACACTTCAGGTTAGCGCACGTTCGCATTAGACTGCCACACTTTAAGTCGAATGCAAACATGTGCTAACCTAAAGTGTTCCATCACACTTCAAAAAGCTATATAACAGAGTTTGTTTGTAGCTTGGCTGCAAAAGGTGATAGACCAGTGACCCAATTATACTTCTTGGTGAAGTTGATTCTTGCTAAAGTGTGGCCAAGATTTGAGCCCTACTTTGGAAATATGAGCTCATAGTCTAAGTTGACATTCCAATACAGTGCTGGAGGAGCACTACATTGTTGGAGGTGCACTCCTATGGATGAGATATTAAACTGTTTAGGTTATCATTGAAGATCCTATTGGTAATATTTGAAAAGTGAGTTTCTCTCTGTGTTCAGGCTAACAATTCCCCAGATAAAATTACACATTCATGGCTGAAAGACGAAATGTAAAATAACCACACAAAGGCAATTTATTCTTCAATTGTTACTCATTATAAATAATATAAGTGTCATTAAAACACGACAGGGTCTTTTGTTTTTAACAAAATGATTAAAAGGCAGATTATTGTTAGAATACCACATCAGATGGTAAATAGATGTGAGGTGTCAGACTGGCTCAGTTGCTAGTACTCTCAATTCTGAGTTCGGAGGTTGCGAGTTGAAGCCCTACTTTGGGACTTTGAACTCATACTCTATATTGACACTCCAATAGAGTGCTGGGGGTGAGAGCTGCATTTTTGGAAGTGCTGTCCTTTGGATAAGATATTAAACTGAGATCGAGTCTGCCTGTTTAGATGATCATTTAAGATCCCATTTGCACTATTTGAAAAGAGAAGGGAGTTTCTCTCGATGTCCTGGCCAACAAGTTCCTAGAGGAAACTGGTCATTCATAGCTACTGACTCACACTGCAGGCCGCCAAAACCCTCATACACACATTCGTAACATCCAGGCTTGACTATGCAAACTCTCTGCTTGTCAGACTCCCCAACTCCTCCCTCCATAGGCTGCAGATCATCCAGAACTCTGCAGCCCGTGTTCTCTCCCGCACCAGGCTCAATGAACCTATCACCCCCATCCTTGCACGAATACACTGCCTTCCCATCACACAGAAGATACAGATGAAGATCCTGGTCCTCACCTTCAAAGCCCTCCATGGCCTTGCTCCTCTGCTACTCTGTCCCCACCCTCTGGAACTTCATGCCGCAGTCCCTCTGCCTTGCCCCTCCCTTGCCTCCTTCAAGACTCATCTCAAGACCCTCCTCTTCGACCGTGCCTTTGATCACCCTCCTTCCCCACCTGCCCTCCACCCTCCCCGATCCCGACTCCCAGCTTGGGTGCGAAACACTGACTGTCCAGCACCTTGAGACATCCTCCCGACATGAAAGGTGCTATACAAATGTAATTTTGCTGTTCTTGTGTGCAAATTGGCTGATGTGTTTGTCTACAAAATACCCAGTCACTACACTTTCCAGTAAATCCTGTGAAGTGTTTTATAGACATCTTCCTTTCAAGGAGCTGTAAGTACATAAATTATTAAACAATATTATTAGTGGAGTCCTGTAGCTTAGTGTTTGGAGCACTCGCCTCGCCTCGAGAGGACCTGGGTTCAACTCCTGAGCAGTGTGAAACATTGTGCAAGTTTCCTTACTTCACACACATTTGTTTATAGAGAATAGAGAGTAAAGGTACCTCTAAGGTACATACTCTGAAGGCTGAAATTTCAGTTAAACATTGCGTAAACCATTTTGCCTCGAAATGTAAGCTCATACAGAATTGAGGAGAATCTGAAGATTCTTAAAAGTAACCAGTTTGCTACTTTATAAATTTTTCACAATGCTGCATGGACTTTAATTTTAAGATAAAATGGTATTACTTGTTAAGACTGGCTGGAATTTCAGACCTCCAAGTGCTTCTTTAGTCTGCATTTCCGAAACTCACCAGCTAACACTCCAAATAAAATGGAGTTACTGAATCCACAACGGTTTGTGGGACGATGCTGTGCGTAATTGGCTGCCTTGTTTCGCCCACAATATAATAAATGATAATAATAATTCTTGCATTTGACATAGCGGATGATCACATCTTCGATACGTCTCATATCGCTTCACAGAATATATTGTAAAGTCAATTGACTGTATATTTTGTCGGCGAAACGCGGCAGCAAATTGCGGACAGTAGTATCCCACAAACAATTGTGGATTAAAGTGACCAATTTATCATTATTATTATTTTGGCGGAATTATTACCCCCTTTAATTATATCACTGTAACATTGAAGTCCAGTCTCAGCATCTCTCCCTTCCCCCCACCACCCCCCCAACCTGATCAATTCTCTCTTTGGTGATGG